CCACATTTATAAAACTAGACCAAGTTCATTTTTTTCTTTTTAAATTTATATTATTTATTTATATTATTTAATATTTAATTTAATTAAAAATTGAACTCTATTATATTTTATTTTATTTTTATTAGAGTTTTCACTAATATTGAAAATGACTTGGTTTTCTTGAATCTTTTTATTTATTCTTTTATTTTTTAGATTTAATTATGCTCTAAATTAGCCCACAACCATTTTATAAAGGTCTGTCAAATACAATTATTAAAAACAATTTAATCTTTTAATAAATAAATATAATTTTTTTTAATATTAATAAATAAGTCACCCTATTATATTTGGATGATATGTACGAAGGCTTACAGTAATAAAAAAAAATTCTCTTTCATGATATTTTATAGATCTTTATAGTGGATCATGTTTCTCTGGATGAAACTATCTTTGATTTGATCAGTTTTTATTTCATCCTTGAATTATATGTATAGCTTTGTATAATTTCATATTATTTATTAGATTTGTTTTTTCTTAAAATTTGGATTAATTGCTATTTTTATTTGAATTAATTTATATAATTAAAATTTATTTTTAATTCCATACCTCCTCAAGTTTTTTATATGTAAGATTTGATTCATATGTTTTATTGTCTTTTATTCTATTTGAGATAGTTTTTAAAACTAATTTTATTTTTTATGGTTTTATCTTCCTTAATTATATTTACATATCATATTTCATCTTTATTTATTTTGTTATTTTTACAAGTTTTTAAATTGATAATTTTTTATGATTTCATCATTTGATATTAAATTAAGTTTTTTAATTAAGTCGGATTTAGAATTTAATGGGTTATAAATGTCAAAAATTAATCCACATTTATAAAACTAGACCAAGTTCATTTTTTTCTTTTTAAATTTATTTATTTTTATTTAATATTTAATTTAATTACAAATTGAACTCCGTTATATTTTATTTTATTTTTATTAGATTTTTCACTAATATTGAAAATGACTTGATTTTCTTGAACCTTTTTATTTATTTTTTTATTTTTTAGATTTAATTATACTCTAAATTAGCCCACATGCCATTTTATAAAGGTCTGTCAAATACAATTTTCAATGCCAAAAAACAACATTAGCCATTACCCAATGGAAGGCATTGCACAACAAGAAGGAAAGAGTTCATAAATAGCCATTTTATTTGCAATAACATTCAGATAATGGCAACTGGTGCACTCCATTTGGAACTGCAACTTTCATTTTGCCATTCTTGTACATAAAATATTGTCAATATATAATCAAATTAATGGATCAAAGTATATTAGACAAGGGATATGTCCTCTCTCTCTCTCTTTTGAAATAATAGAAATTTATTTTAAAACTATTATAGATACATATTTATTTGATGTTGTATCCATATCCCTTCAATCAAATTTTTTTTTTTGTTTGTTCCATCTTAAAATAATAATTATTTGAATATTACTTGTCATAATCTTGGTTTGAAAATAATCATAATGATAGTCATTTACCTACATGCATGACCATGAATTCATGTTGCCCTATCCTCCTCGTCCCAAGATGCAATTGAGCCACAATATTAAAAAAAAAAAAAAACCTGAGAGGCATGGTAAAAACAATATTCTTCTAGACACATTATAGATGAGAATAATATTTTTATCATCTTGCCCTTCAAGCTAAAAAACATTAGGCTAATAGTTAAGGGTAGAATTGTCTTTGTAATATAAGTCTTAATTTTGACA